AACCTCAAAGGAGAGAAAAGAGAGAGGCTAGGGAAAAAAAGAGGTATGAGGGGATTTGTAAATCTAGCTACAAACTGGGCAACTTACAGTTTTATATACAGTGGAAGCTAGTCAGAGCATATGACCAAAAGCTCACTAGCATCAACAATAAGATATAGTTGGGTTCAAGCCAACAGCGTGCTGAGTAAGCGGCCTACTTGTATGTTGATATCATCTCTTTTCACCTAGCAGATGCATGCAAACTTAGGTACAGTGGTGCCTCGCTTGACGACGATAACCCATTCCAGCAAAATCGCTGTACAACGAAATCGTCGTCAAGCGAAAGTAAAAAACCCATTAGAATGCATTAAAAAACGGTTAATGCATTCTAATGGGCGAAACACCTCATCGTCCATTGAAGATCCTCCATACGGCGGTCATTTTCCAGTGCCTGTAAAGCGAAAAAGCCCTCCTAAACACAGCGGGGAGCCATTTTGCACAGTGGGTGGCCATTTGGAAACCTGACGATCAGCTGTTTTCTGATCGTCGTTAAGCAAAAAATCAGTTCCCAAAGCAGGGAACTGATCATCATCAAGCGAAAAAAGCCCTTTGAAACATTGTTTTGCGATCGCAATAACGATTGTAAAAACATTGTCGTGAAGTGATTTCGTCATATAACGAGGTAATCGTCAAGCGGGGCACCACTGTAGTGTTAAAGCTACATATTCAGTGACAAACCCACTTTCACTCACTTCCCTGCCAGTTGCAGTTCTCACAGTAATTTGCTTTGCCATATATCATTTAAACACTGCTTAGGATCTTGGCAAACTTTAGCAATCTATCAAAGGAATCCTGACTGGAGCCATGGAAGAATTGACCGAGATCACATAATTTAAGACTGGACATCACAGAATCTTTACACCTTAAGGACCAACAAATTATGATGCACGTTGTGGCCATAATAAAATGGTTAGACCTTAAGGCTATAAACCACAGTTATTGTGCTACAGCAGACTAACATAGCTGCTGGTCTAGGCCATGCCAAGGTATAGAGATCACCTCCTAAACATGTGCCCAGGATGTCCATGTTTCCAAAAGGTGTGCACATGGGAGATAGGAAACATTACATTTTTTAAACTATAGTGCTTAATGACGTTAATTCGTTCCAGCAAAATTGCTGTAGAACGAAAATGTCGTAAAGCGAAATAAAAAAGCCCATTGAATCGCATTGAAACCCGTTCAGTGTGTTCCAACGGGCTGAAAAACTCACTGTCCAGCAAAGATCCTCCATAGGGGTGGCCACTTTCGGTGCCTGTAGAGTGAGGAATCCATCCAAAAACACAGCGGGGAGCCTTTTGAAAACCCGACAATCAGCTGTTTTGATTGTCGTAATGCGAAGAATCGGTTCCGGAAGCAGGGAACCGATCTTCGCAAAGCGAAAAAACCCATTTAAAACATCGTTTTGCAATCGCAAAAACATCATTGTGAAGCAGATTCGTCGTTATATGGGGTAATCGTTAAGCGGGGCACGACTGGGATACCACAGCCAACATTATTACTGGCCATGCTGTTTGAGGTCTTTGGGAGACGTTGTCCAAACAAATTGCATTTTGCAATCTCTGATGTGGAAGTATTGATTCCATTAATAATTGTAATACAATGGGGCTGTGTTATATTTGAAAGGAGTGAGCAAGGCTTGTGAAAAGGATTAACTTTTTTTGCAGTAGGAAAAGCTGCAGAGATGATTGACTAAATCAGTGTTTACGAAAATCATTTTCTGTGGGAGAGGTGTGATTCAAGGACACCCTGATTAAAGCAAATGGTGACTCATAAAAGTGGAAAGTACTTGAAAGTTGCCTGGCGGATCCTCCCCACTCCACCCCGACTCATATTTATATCTTCGTATTTTTCCACTAGTATTTAATAGTTGTGGTAAGAGTGGTAATTTGTATTGGGAATTGATAAAGGGGGAAATAATTAAACTGTCCGCACTGTAACTCTGATCCACATTACTTGCCTGCTTTAGGGACTGTTACTTAAAGAAGATTCCAAGAGTCATCAGAGACCATTTTGTATAATATGGCCTTCCACTTTTCAGGAAGCTAGATCAATGTGATGGGCCTTTCTTGAGCATCATTTGCTTTCTGGACTGCTGATACTGTGCAAATGGCTTCATCCATATCAGGGCACAACAGCGTAGCTATTTGTTTTATGAGCAGGGTCCAAGTCCAGACTAGATCTAAGCAATAAGCATCATATTATTGCATGACACCATTCCAGAAAGCAAATTCTTCCACCTAAACTTGTAGGTTATGATTCATTCTGGAAGCCCATGGGGTTCAACTAATTTAAATGCAGATTATCCTGGTTTATTTTTAATGTGGGGAAAATGGCCTCATTACTGTTGGGGATCTGCACAGATTTTTAACTTCTTTAAACAAATATATTAGCACCAGAATGTTCAGAGTTTTGTTTTGGAGGGGTTTTCTATGCCAATCTGGAAAAAGGGTCTTTTTGCTGTTTGCATGCTTCATGACACTTTAAAGCTGTAGCTTATTCATTTTAAGTTCTTGCTTTTAGCGCTACCAAAATGGAATTAAGGCTGGAGAGTCAAACTGCATACACTGCAAATAACAAGATGATCTCTCTTTTGCTCTACACATTTGGTTTTCATTATTTACTCATATAGAACTACTTCCTGTAGGCCAACTATTGTGCTGCACCCTATTAAAAATAGTCCGGCATGTTTTTGGTAACAGTTTCTGCACATGCCCAATGTATGTTGAAGAAACAGGCAGAAAGCAAGCAGTTTAGAGAACAAAGTGAGAAAATGCACAAAACATACATGACGTTGCTTGGGCAAGAAAGAAGTTGCAGTGCTCTGTTGCGGTGTTTCTGATGCTTTTTTTCCCCATCAACGACCAGGATGTGTGTCCAGAATAGGGAAGGCCACATGAAAAGGCAAACAAAGAATTCCTTACACCTCTCTCCCTACTCTACTAAGAGAGTCCATTCCATCTAGGCAACTTGAATTAGACCAGGCATGTGGACCACCCTATAGAACTGTTATTCAGTAGGGATTATGGGAAACACAGTTCAACAACATCCACAGAGTCACACCTTTCACATCCCTGAAACTGCTTTCAATAAAATAATTAAATGGGGTTCTTTAAGATTCTGTCAGGCTCCAGCATCACAAGGAACCAAGGCTATACAGAGCTTATAATGTGCAAAACTATCACTTGCTCAGTGCTGGGAAATGGGCTGCTGTCTGTTAAAAGGAGAAGGGGCAAAAACTCAACCCAGATATTAGAAACTAGAAGAACTATGACAGAGGCAGATGAAAGGGGTGCTTCCAAGACTGAGTGAGATGAGGGAGGCACTATAATCTCGGAGAATGAAATCAGCACACCTACCTATTTATCCTGCTTTGCTGCAGGGGATTAATCCTGAGTGAGCAGGACAAGGCAAAATGGACCCTGCCCTACATATGCTGTTGGGTGGCACCTCCCATCAGCCCAGCCAGCATAGTCAATGGTGAGGGAACTGTAGCCCATCATCATCTGGAGGGCCACCTATTCCCCAGCACTTGTGTCCATATTACATTTTACAGTGAGGTCCGTATTTGAATTTCTAAATAAAAGCTACTCTGTATTTTCTTGCTCTATGGGAAAAAACTGCAGTGACACACACGTTTGACTCTTTTGAACAACAAAGACGTTGCAATGTTTTTCTTTCTTCTATTTCCTTCACACTCCAAGTACCTTTTAGGTGAAAAGCTGCACAGAATGGTGGAATGTTCGATTAATAATTCCTCTTCATTTTATAGCCTGGGCTATAACAGGTGTTCTGGGTTTCTAAAAAGAGCATGAACTGGCGTTTGGTTTCCTGCCAAAGACCTTCCAAAAACTTTCAGTCTGAAGTTGTGGTTTTGGACCTGCCTCAACTTTATCCCAATGTTTACGTGTCACCATATGTTGCACACATTGTGCTTGACAGCAAACACATTATTCCATGTGTTGTTATAAGCCTAGAGAATTTTGTGAATGTAGCAATAGCATAACAGAAGGGTTCTGTAAATTGCCAGAGATCACAAAAATAGCACAGAGAAGCAGAGATGTTCAGACAAGCTGCATTCCTGGTAAAATGTCCCACTACTGAAGACTAAGAAAGTGTGGTTGCACTGCTGATCTGTAGTGCTACAAACATCATTAGATCGGAGATTGGCAACATCTGGGTAGGGCTATACCCTATCCCCCTACCTCCAATGTTGCCATTGTGTCACTGAATTTTGGTGGAATGGCGGTAGCAAAGGTGTGCTTTAAAGCAAGTTTAGAGAGAGCATGACTCATTTTAAAGCAAAAGCATACTTCCAGGAGAGTTAGTACAATGTGACTGCACTTGGAACCAAGCTATGGCCTCCTCATACGCTTTGCCTTAAAGCAAAAGTATGATTTGACTTTTCTAGCCACGCTGCTGCTGAAATTCAATGGCAGAGGAAACAACAGGGCAGAAAAATGTTTCTAGGTCACATACGGCTGCCTTTCCCCACCTCACCCTTCATTTGAGCTGTTCTTCGGAGCTTTTACAGCTCAAAGCTGTTGCCGAGGGAGATACAGTTTCTCTGTTTGTGAAACTGGGCCATTGCTTTCTCTCAGGACTAGGATTAGTCAGAGGGTGAAAAACAGACAAGTAATCATTTTTGTGGTAGTGTAATGTCTCCATGTTGCTTTGGTTTTGCTCAGCAGTATGCTCTTTCTAGCAAAACATCTCCTATAATGGTTTAAAAGCTGCCCCAAATGTTGCATTGCATAAGGATACGAAGCCTAGGGCTCCAAGATGTTCTCTGCACAAGTGGCCTGCTTCTACCTTTTCTAGCAAGGAAAGTGCCATTGTAAAAATGATTGACACCGAGGCCTGGTCTTCCTTCTGCTCTTTTACAGCTGCCATGTTGTGGAAATATTTTTAATCGAGGGGACAAATCACTGGTGCCTTAACTAAATGCACACCATAAACACCACTTCTCTTAAAGAATATTTTATCTTTTAAAATATTCTAGTTGCACAGCTTAGAAAATACAATAAAATTAAAAATCCGACATTAGAAAAATGGATTCAGTGATGAGTCTTCAACATCAAACATGCCTTGATCACGAGCCAAACAGTTCCTGTACTTGCTGCAGAAACTGGTGATGGCAGAGAACTGGCAATCGATGCAGACAATATGGGAAGACAGAGCCACAGAGCACCAATAGAATAATAGAGAGTTCTCTTCTTCCACTGACAGACACCATCTTATCTTTCAATAAATACTGCCATCATTTTTCCATAGCAGAGTAGGACTCATTTCTCAGAAATGAACTGGACGACAGAGAAAGAAGTGGGCAGATGGTGTTGGTGGTAGGAAAAGCCAACTAATATGTAGGTTGCTTTCAGTCAACTTCTGTTGTCCCGCATGGCCTTAAGAATTCATTTCCTCTTTCGTGAAACCACTTGTTCGATACTGCGAAGAATAAATGGTTTCGTTAGGATGGCAACGTCAGGCAGACTTAAAACATTTTCATATGAGGCACAAGGGAACATTCTACTGAGGCAACAGCAAAAGACTGTGAGGCTGCGCATGGCTCCCCATGGCCCACCTCACATGTTCTTTCTAGTAACAGAGACCATAGAGCTGGAGTTGGAAAGGTGTGGCTCTTGGGATGCTTTGGACTAACACTCCCATAACTTGCCATCCTGGCTGGAATTGATGGGTGTCGTAGGGGCCAAAACATCCAGAGAGCCAACAAGTTGCATTCTCTGTTGTACTGGAAGGAACACTAAAGCCAGATGTCTCATATGCACACATTTCAGTGTTTGCAAAGGACAATGAATTGCAAGTGTGTGTGTGTGTGTGCAGCAGTCAAGATGTAATGTACCTAAGGCATGGATGAGTGTTGCTAAGGTTTCTGGGTCAGGTTGACTCAAGAAAGGTCACAGATGGTGCATTAAATGGAATTCAAGAAAGGCACTCCTTGCCACTAGTTCCACCTGGCAATCCAGGGACAGTACTAAGTCATGGAGCACTTCAAGATTACAAACCTGATTGTCAGGGGGCAGCACAAACCATTTTGAACCCTGATTCCCAAATCTGGCCTTCCCACAGGTGTAGATGTGTCTTGTATTAATGTTGTCTGGATCCATGGGGTGGAGACAGCGAGAGAGCTGGATGTACTTATGGGCCTCCTGTTGCAGGAAATCCTAGCATACTGTACCCTAGATATTCAATGTAAAATAATAACTGTGTGCTGCCTAATCAATTCTGACTTATAGTGACCCTTTACACAGGATATTTCAGGTAGAGAATATTCAGAAGTAATTTACCATTCCCTTCTTCTGAGGCCATTTCTGTGACTGCGCAGCTTGCCCAAGGCCACACAGGCTGACTCTACTTGTAGGAGGCACAGTGGAGGAATCAAACTCCCAACCTCTGGCTCTGCAGCCAGATACCTATCTCACTGAGCTATCCAGCCAGCTTACAAAATGAAGGGGGAAGCCAAAGGGGACTGGGCTTGTCTACCAATCCTCCCCCAGAAAGATAGCTATCCTCACAGTGGACAAGACACTGTCACGACTTTTCAGTTAAACACTCCATACCTAGGTGCTACCATATGGTGATATTTCAAGAACATAATTCTGCTAATTAAAGTGTCAGGGAAAAGTTGAATTCTTCCATGCCATGCATGTCACACTGCCATCTCAGGAGATAACATTTTATATTTCTCTTTTACTGTATGTTAGCTTGTGATGTGCCATTAGGTCAGAACTGAATTAAAAGCAATCCTAAAAGGGCTTTCAAGGTAACTGAAGCACATAAGGAGGGGTTTTACCAATTCCATCCCCTGGTGAGTTTCCATGGGCAAGCAGAGATTTGAACCTTGGTCTTCAGAGTTTATTCTGTCACTCTATCTGGTACTCCACAACAGGTTTCCTTTCATATTACCAAGGAACTGCCTACCAAAATAATCAACTAAAAGCAAGGGCATTTCAATGTGATGTAATATCCCCCCCCCCCCCAAATTATCTCATAATTGTACCAAAGTAGCAAGCCTGTAATATCAGCTTCCAAAACAATGCTTACTTACCCCACTTACATCCTACTAATACTGGGCATGCTGCGTGTCTCGTTCGGTAATCACCTTCTCCACTTCTGAACAGGTTATACCAAAATACTGCAGTCCCCTGAAAATGAAGGAAGGCTCTTAATTGATGTCAATGTACTTTGAGTGCCTGTCCATATCTGTGTATGAACATTCTCATTTATTATTATTATTTTATATATACATCATCACCTGTTCTACTTAATACAAGAAGAACACTGGGTTTTTCACATCTGGTTCTTTTCTTGTATATAATTTCCCCATTTCTGCTTCTGATGGGTTCACAAGAGCAATGTATCTGAAGTAGTTATATGTTACTAGTACCAGATACATAGCTGAGACCTGGATATTACTAACAGGTCTCTGTAAGCCTATTAGAACTGGAAATGGAAAAATATATCATCAAATAGCTGACAAAACTACTCCTCACCAGGGGCAAACACCAGTTACTCATTAGCATGAGAGACCCCACACAAGTTTTGCTGTTATTCTTTCTTGCCCTTATCCGTGTATAATCGATGCAGGCCTTCCTGCTCTCCCTCAAATCCTTCATATTTGCTTGAGGCTGGAAGATTTGGTGAACTATAAAACTGGCACGAGAATGGCTTTTATCATCCCTTTTCAAAGCTTCAGGGAGGTAAGAGAAGCCAGGGTCTGCCTCTCTCTCATTCCTGCTCTCTAATAAGCACAGTGAGTCCCGAGTATTGCCCAATAAGCATTGGCAACCCAACAGGCATCTTTCTCAACATCCATCCCACCTCCCAGCCTTTTAAAGCTTTCTACACGTCAAGCAAGATGCCATCCCTTCCTCAAAGCTGCTATGCAAGCTAGAGAGATGGAGGAAGAAGTAGCTATTATATCCTGCCAAGGAGAGAGAGAAGCCCATCTCTAGCAAGCAAGAAACACTTGGGAAAGAGAAATCTGAATACAAAAAGAACCAGCAGACTGTCACAGAGGCATGAATTAGAGAAAGAACAGACATTTCCCCTGCCGTAGGTTTTCTCTTCATACGGCTATGGTAGACAAACCAGGCTCCATTCTTTCCCAAGCTCTCAGTATTTGTTCAGGGCTTCGAAGGAGCACAGGGACTGACCCTGGGGTTATTTGCACTCAAATCATGTGCTTTGCTATTCCATGACAACCCTTTCTTTTCTTGAATGAATTCTGGTATGCACCCTTTGCATTCACAGGATATTTATTCATGGCTGTGCTGAGTGGTGACTTAACCTATTAAGTCACAAGATGTATCGCAACATCAAATATGCCTTCCATTCACACACAGAGGGTGAGTCCAGAAGCCCATCATATCGCCAGGGTCTCTAAAGATCTCCAGTGGGCTAATTCTAGCCTTCATACTTTAAGCTACCATACTTTTCCCACTCATGAAGAAACCACAGTGGAAACTGGTCTTAGAAGTATAGGGCTTCTGTCTGTTGTTCACAAGCAGGGAAATCTGGACAAATTCAACAAGTATTATGTTAATATATATTTTGGGATATGAGCCAAAGGAAGCTATGATGTTTGGATACTCGTAGTAGATATAACACGGCAAACTGCAGTGGAGAAAGTAGCTGATGTAAAAACAGAAGGAACCCAGCCAAACTAATATTTGAAAGGCTGTCATACAGAGGAGGTGCAGGATCTGTTCTTGATCATCCCAGAGTGCAGGGCACGCAACAATGGGCTCAGGTTAAAGGAAGCCAGATTTTGGTTGAATATCAGGAAAAACGTCCTGTTAGAGCAGTACGACAGTGGAACCAGTTACCTCAGGAGTTGGTGAGTGCTCCAACACTGGCATTCAAGAAAAACTTAGATAATCACCTGGCAGATACTTGTATGCTTTGATTGTATTCCTGCATTGAGCAGGGGGTTGGACTCAATGGCCTTGTAGGTCCCTTCCAACTTCACTTTTCTGTGATTCTATGAAAATTTAACTAACTTGCAGTATAAATCCTACCTATCTACTCAGAAATAAGTCCTATGTGAGTTCAACAAGTCTTGTCTTCAAATAGATCAGTATAAGATTGCAGCTTACGCCTAGAGGGAGCCAAATGTTTGCAAAGCTCCGTCCTCATCCAGACAAGGTCTGATTTATTGTGATTTGCTTCCACAGAGTACAAGTATAGGTTCCTTGGATGAGATTCAAACTAACTATAAACCTAAAAATAATCCAATTATCATTGTCATATATGTTAATAAAGTCAGCCATCCCACCAGGGCAGAAAAAGCATGGAACGGAAGTAATACTGGGAAATAAGAGTGAAAACAGTCTTCAGGGGCATTTTAAAGGGATAATTTTACTTACAGACAAGCACAGCTGTTACCTTTTTGGGCCAGATTGCTGCTCCAAAGTCTGGAAAAACTGTGGCGCCTCCAGCTTCCACATCACTCATCTGAGAAAACAAAATGATCATAAAAGCTGGGGATGGTTTCAGCATCACAGCCAGCAACATCTATGAGATTCTTTACAGTTTAATAAATCATAAATCTGTTACTCTTTTCCTGTATGGTAATTTTAATCAGAATGAAAGATTTAACTTACAGTTTGGCGGAATGTTGGTTTACCAAAATAAAAATACAGAAAGAAAAGTAAAACATCCTGAAAAATACTATTAGCCATAGGCTTAGTAACTAATGTTTACATGGATTTAGGAATTGGTATCACACCAAATCATAGCCAACAGGGCAAGATGGACAGGACACGCCAAAGCATGCTAAAAGTACTGTTATGCTCAGAGTGGCTTTCTTTTTATAGTGTGTGGGTTTAGGATACCTGCCTAAATCCTTTCTAGAGGTTTTCTTATTCTTTTCGTGATACTCATCAGGGGGAAGAAAGTGCCACAGCTACTTTGACACACATTTCATTAGCTAATTGGAAGTATACTTTGGCACCGACAACAGTGCTCAATTATATGCACCTCTCAGTCATCCATTCATGGGTTTGACGTGTGCCAATGGAACAGACATGGCTCTATTTCTACGCTGAAGAGTAATTGCAAACCAAGGAGCCTCAAGCTTCACTAACAAATTAGGAGTGCTTCAGTCATACTGTAACACAGACAAGAAGGGGAACTTTGGCAGGTCTGGAGGCCCATTTTCTGCCCTCAGGATCTCCTGCAGGCTCCATGGGCATCCAAAATGTTTGTTTCAAAAATGAATCCTGAAGTGACCAAAAATCCACTTCTGAATTTGAAAAAGGGTTATTTGGGGCATGACAGACACCTACAGCCCCTCCCCAAAGGGGAAATGCTGCTCTTGGGAGATTCAGCAGTGGGAATTCATGTCCCTTTTGCTGAAAAACAAAACAAAACAAAATCTTGGAGCAGGTTATGTGTAATCCTGGGGCTACCTGTAATAAGCAACATTTGCTTCCATATAGCCATTTGTAGTTAGAAAGGTGTTCTTTCATTTGTTCAGCCAGTGCCCCGGAAAGAGATTCACCAGCCTCCTCACTATCTGCAACTATGGATGGAATTCCCCCTCGCTCAACACCTCAGCGCAAGTATTCAGGCAAGAGATGCAGCAACAGAGGGGGCAGGGAGGCCGGAATGCCTCATTCCATGAATTACCCTGGATTATCTTAATTGGTAGAAGGAAGTATTTACGAAGGCTTTCACGGCTGGGATCTAATGATGATGAAGCACAGAGTGCTGTCCTCTGAAGACGCTGGCGAAACATTAGAAAGAACAACCTTCAGAACACGGCCAAAGAGCCCGA